TTTTGGGAATAGTATCGCCGCTCGGCTATACTCAGATTTTCCCAATTTTTTTATATAAAATAGTATTAACTAATGCAAACTAGAAGGGTCCTTTTTTCATAATTTCTCACTATTATAGATGATTGTACACGCTACATGTGGGTATTTCCCTTGATCAATAAATCAGAAGTTTCATATGTTTTCATAAGGTTTCATGCATATATTGTGAATCATTATCAAGCTCGAGTTCAGTTTTTGCAATTCGATGGTGGTGGTGAATATATTAGTCACATGTTCAAAGATTTTCTAGCCAATAAAGGCATTCTTCATCAGCTCTCTTGTCCTTACACTCCTCAACAAAATGGATTGGCTGAGAGGAAGAATAGGTATCTTATTGAGACTACTCTTGCCCTATAGACACCAAAAATTGCTAAATTATAAATTTAACATTTGACGCTCATCAGATAAATATTTCGGACTTAATCAAATGAAATCAAAAGAGAGACACCTTCAATTATGCTCAAAATGATATCCTGCATGCATCGCTTCAATATATGCTGCATTACAGCTCATATGGCAACACTCTTGGTCAAGTTGATGATGCCTCTGATCCTTCCAATACAAATCATGTGGTTCCAAACGGCCATCTTATTCCTTGTGGTTTACGATGTGCGAGAAAATGCATGGTGAGCCCAATATGCCTTTGCTGCATATGCATGATTAAATGCAAGTCAACTCCTTCGGATGTTGTGTATAATTGTACACAAAGCTGTGCCAACTCCATTGCCATCACAAGGATTATTGAGGTAATGTTAAGATATAATGAACACTTACAAAAATTTCACTTCCATGGGCAGTTTAGATAATGATATTCGTCCTACGGCGTAATTTTAGGACTTTCTGTTGTTTGAAAAAGATATCCATTTCTCCGATGATCAATTTATATAGTTTTTAATACTAATACCGAACTTAATCCGTTTCAAGTTGTTAGTATTTCTACTTGTGTTTGTTGATTTACATTAATTTCATGTAAATTTGTTATTGTATTTGATTATTACAATTTTGTTGAGAATTATTATTATCTTTAAATTCATATTTCATATTGTTCCGCCAACATCAACAACCAGAAGGAATAAAACCATGTACTACCAAATCTCTTCATCACTTTCACAAAAGAGTAAGATTTCAAACCCACATAAGCATGTAACCAGATTCCAATTCACCCCGCAGATCAAAAGCTAAGACTGACTTTCAAAGAACCAGCACAGAACAGAACCTAGTAAAATATTGCATACTCTTACATGACATCAGCCAAAATAAAATCAATGGAGGAACATAAATTCAAGCCTGGACAAAGGTCTCAATCGACACCGCATTATAAAAGAGAGAAATTATTGCAAAATTACAAGGGATGAATCTCAGAAAGAGCAGGAAACATATAAGACCCGGGTCATCAGTAAAGCACTAGGAAGGATACATAAGCTTTGGAGGGCACCAGAATACCAAGTGAGTAGAACCCCAAAAAAACTATCAACAAGATATGAAGCACACCAGGGTGCATTGATTTCTATATCATGCCAAATACAACCAAACTGGATGGAAGACAAATCAATATGCGCTTGCAAAACATGAGACCACAAACTCAGACGAAGATTGATATCAAAGTCATAAGTCAATGGTCCAAAAAGATATAAATCAATTGTAGTTGTAAAGTCAGAGACAGATGTGTGGGTTCACTAATGGAGAGTTGGAGAGCTATGCTTTAGCGTATAGCCGTGCGGCTATACTATTAAAATAACAACTCTGCTCTTTTATTTATTATTATTTTTTCATAAATGGTATAGCCGAACGGGTATATGTGGTTTTTCTAATTTTTGAAATAGTATAGCCGGCCGACTATACTCTGTTTTCAATTTTAAGTACAGCCGTTCGGCTATACCCGGTTTTCCCAATTTTTTAAAGAGAGTGTATAGCCGCTCGGCTATACAGTTTAATAGTAAGCAAATACCAAGTATTGGATTTTTCTCTCTCTCCTTCCCCATCCTCATCTGCCTCTTTGGCCATTTCCATCTCTTCTTGTAAAAAAAAGTGACCAAATTATAAGTAAAAATTAATATAACCAATCTGAAGACAACCCAGCTTCAGATTTTGTTTAAAATACAAAAACCCAACTCATAAATTCATAATTGGACCTGCAGATGCCACAGTACTCACAATGATATCGCAGCGAATAAAGACTTTAAAACTCAGGTTTTCTTTAAAGTCAGGAAAAAAAAAAAAAAAATAAAAAATAAAAAGACCCGCCTAGGCCGATTTTTACTTTTATTTTTTCGAACCCGCTCTCATGGGCTGCAGCAGCGGCATTCATCAAAAAGTTTAATAAGGAAGCGAATCACACTTACAAGTTAGGCCTCAACGAATTCTCAGACCTTACAGATGAAGAATTCACCATGTTTCATACTGGATACAAACCCACAAGCTCATTCAAAAATAGTTCTTTCTGGAACGAAAACCTGACTGATGTTCCACCAACCATTGACTGGAGGAACGAAGGAGCTGTCACCCCCATAAAATTCCAAGGTGTATGTGGTAAGATGAGCACCAAAACTCAAAGCTCCCTACCAAAACTAATTAGGTATATAACATGCACATGAACATTATTTTGTGATCATTAATTAGTTATATAACATGCACATGAACATTATTTTTGTGATCATTAATTTATATAGGAAGTTGCTGGGCATTTACAGCAGTGGCTGGCAGCTGTGGAGGGAATTACACAAATCAAAACTGGTAGCTTGATCTCACTGTCCAACAACTAGTGGACTGTTCCAAAAATGGTGCCAACCAAGGTTGCGAAACTGGTAATGTGCTCGATGCCTTCGATTACATACAAACAAACGGTATCACCAATGAAACAAGTTACCAATACATAGGAAATAATGAAACATGTGACATTGAGAAGAAAATTAACATTGCCGCCTGTATTGCGGGCTACTAATCTGTGCCATCAGAGGTTCGGCTCTTTGATTCTTGATCCTTTTTGCTTCCGCTCTACTATATCATAAGCAATTTCTGAGGCTCAAGCTATCGATTGCATCAATGGCGATTCGTTGGATGCAAATGCTTTCCTCAAGTCTGATATTATTTCTGGCGATTTTGCAAGCGTCTTGACTCGATGATATATTCATCTTCGGTATGCTGATTCTGTCTTCAATTTCAGTTTAAGTATGATGCGATTTCATTAAAAGCACGAAGCATGCTCTGTAATTTCTTGAAGCACGAAGCCGATTTAAACAAGTTTTCAGTTCTCTTGAAGCACGAAGCAATTTCTCTGTTTTCTTGAAGCACAAAGCAATTTCCTATATCTGTTTTCTTGAAGCACGAAGCTGCTATTCTTTTGATCTATGTTTTCTTGGAAGATCATCATTTGATTCGTTGAAGTAATTTCTGATTCTTTGATTCTATACTGCCATGACTTTTACTGCTTCGAAAATTGAGACCTTATTAGGTGTTTTGACTATTAAGTTGAATGATGATAATTTTGTGAAGTGGAACTATCAGTTGGAATCTGTTCTTCAAGGATATATGACCTCTATGGTCATTTTGATGGCACATCTGTGTGTCCATCTAAATATGTCATAACTGAGTCTGCAGGAGTTACTACTGAATTAACTGAGGATTATCGTCACTGGATTCAAATTGATAAATCTTTGCTCAGTTTGCTTATTGCAACTCTGTTTGATGAGGCCATAGAGTACACTACTACAAAATTGTAAAACCACGACACAAAATAGGCGACGGTATAGTTTAAAACCGTCGTTATATTTTAAAAGATGACGATTTCACAAAAACCGTCGTGATATACCCGTTTATACACCACTAAAATAGAGATGTGTTTTAAAAGACGACGTTTATAAATTACAAAGGTCGTCTTTTAAAACACGCTGCGCTCCTGAAGTGAGTTCGCTCCCGACCTAATTTTCAGATTTCCCCCCCACTCGAAAACATTCCCTCGTCTAATTCTCGCAGCGCTCTCTCAACTCTGTTCTTAAACAGTCCCTATGAATTATCCCCATCTCTCTTCCCTCCCTCATCGTCACATATCTTCTCTTCGTCTATCTTTCTCTTTTTGCTATGCATCTCTCTCTTGACCATTCGCTTCTTTTGCTTTGCAGGTCGTGATCGATAACGTCGTCTGCTCCACTGCGACTTTACTCAAGGTTTCTGAGCTCGCCATCTCGTCGCGCCATCGTGGTCAGTGAGAGTTTCGGTAAGAGATTTGGGGCTTTTGCTATTTCAAATCCCTAGCATCCTTTTACTTATACTCTCTCATCGATCTCCAGCTCTTTCAGATCAAACCCACCGAAACCCCAAGCTTGCTCCTTCTGCAACAAAACCTCCAAAGTCGTGAAGGCCTTTGCAATAGTTGGTCTGAAATTTTTATGTTCTTTATGATTTACCTATTATATTGTTTCAATTTGATTATGAGTTGTTGCTCTGTTTGGATTATGCTGGTTGTCTATTCATATAGATTTTTATTCTGGAGTGCATTTATTTCATAAGAACTCTGGTCAGTCCCCTTTCTCAGTCTCAGGCTTTAATTTCTCAAATAGAGATGAGAGATGCATACATACATACATACATACAACATATGCATGCATGATATACATATAGTATGTACTAGCAAAGGTGCCCGCGCGATGCTGCGGATTTTAAAACCGTCTGAAATGCGTACAAAGTTATGAAAATATGTAGCAAGTTTAAGTTGCAAAATAAAGACTAATAGCATGTTTTATATGTCGCTTGTCATGTTAAAATATTGATCATATTTTAATAAAACCAAGCAGCAATCAAAATATCAGCAGTTTTGAGCTGCTCCTTGTTGAAAAGAGTTTGGACATGCCTTTACATATATGCGATAATTTATTTTACTACTTTGGGCATAATATTCAGGGAGGATATGTGAACAAAAAGGGTCTAACAAAAACAGGAAAAATAAATAAAATAACAACCTTGTCTAGCGTGCAAAGAACCGCCTTCTATTCACAGCCTCATCTTGACTATCTCATACACTACTACCATCTTGCAAAAACTGAAAATCTACAAAATGAAAATCATCACAATCTCAGCTAAAAACACCAAATGAACACATTGTACTCCATCGTTAAACCCAAGAAAAAGGCTACATAATGCATAACCGCTATTTCTTAATCTGGGCTCTCCATATAGATATATTTCACAAAATTTAAGCATGAGAAAAGAACTGTAAATCTGTTTTAAACTGAAAAGAAAAGAAAACAAATCATCCCTGCATATAAGAATAAGAAAAGAAACAGTGCAACAAAAATATGGCACAATATTTAACCCCATAAGCTCAAACTCAATTTAATTTACCAAGACAGACGTCTTCTTGAAGAATAGAACCAAGCACTTGATTCAAAACACCCCTTACAAAGAATTTAAATATGTTACTACGTTATTTTCATGTATAAACAGATCATTAAGTTAAAAAAACAGTAATTGGAAGAGCAAAAAGCACAGAGTAAAACAAATTTCAGAACAAATATTCCACTGAATAGTAAATTTTTTCATGTCTTTAGTACATGAATTGGTATTCAAAATGTGTCATACTTGGAAATTATAATTCAATCACCACAGCTTTGTTGGTTTTGATATATGCAGGAATCGTGATATAAGAGTTTACCACGAAAAGGAAAATATGAAGACAGTATGAAATGAAAGAAACCCAAAAAAAAACAATGAAATATCAAACTTTCATTCAAATCAAGAAACACAAATAAAACATTTTGGACAAAAATTTAACTACTTTGAACATAAAATTCAGGGAGAATAAGTGAACAAAAAGTTTCGAACGAAAACAGGAAAAAGAAAGGGGAAAAAAACCATTTTCAACCTTCTCCTACTCACAGCCTCTTCTTGACTCTCTCGTACACAGTTAACATCTGCCAAAACTCAAAATCCATACAAACAATATATAGGATAAGCATCTTTCAAAATAGAAACATAACAAAGTGGATGAAACAAATTAATTCAAGGATATAATTAACTGCAATCATTAAGTTGTACTAAAGGTTTGGCAAAATCTGGAAATCAGGAGATTGCAGTCGACAAAAGTCTCTCTTCCAAAAGCATAAGCAAATATCATTTAGCCTTCAAAAAGGATAGAAGCAGTTTCATAATATTTGAAAATCAAAAAGAGAATTTAACAATTTGTCGATTGTTACAATGGTTTTCATGGTCACAGGCTGCATGTAGAATTGGGACAAAAAAAAACTTTTGAGAAATTAGACAGAACCTTTAAGAATTGGCAAGACAACTTGTCATACTTTATACCAATTACGAAATTTATACTAAAAGTGCAATTACTACTAAGTAATTATAAAGGCAAAAGTAATAGAAATGTTCTTTCAGTACATGGTGTACAACCCTCACAGATGCAAAAACCATAATAAGTCTATAATCTCAAGCTAATGTCAACCTATTTATCCCTACAATTAAGGCTGAAGCAGAAATCATCCTTAATAGATAGCACGTATAGACTCAACAGAAAATAAAATCTCATATGCCAACAACCATATGAGAGTTTAGGTCATGAGATATAAATCAAATTCAATTCTTATTTTAGGTCATGAAAATGAAAGCATGCGTACATTATTTTGGAGCAAAACTGTCTTCAATATTTTTATTTTTTTTATAAGAGAAACGATATATTGAAAAGGTGGATAAGGCATCCACAGCCAAACAAACAAAACACAGAAACAGCCCTAAAAAGGCCAAAAGAAAGAAAAAGAAAAGAAGGGAAATGAGGCAATGTGATGGAGGGACACATCCTCAGTTCACAGCCATCACCAAATCCAACATAATGATAGAAGGGAATAATCCTTAAAAACTGAAGTAACTGAAACCCAGAATCTAGCCACAAATAAACAACAACAAAAATCCTTCAAACAATCTAAATCTAAAGCACAATCATCAACCAGTCCAATCAAAAGCATCAATCAAAGGCTGAGATAATCCTACAATACCTTAGTTCTCGATGCCAATTTCGCACCTAGGGTTGAAAGCAAGTTGGGCTCCCTTGCAAAATTCAACAACAATCTTCAAGACACTTCAATTGTTAAATCAACATTTTCAATCCTAATTGTATATATCCTGGCCTACAAAAGATATTTTCAACATTTTCGTTCCAATTTAAGGCAGAGATGTAATCGACTTATTGAGGGGAAAAAAAAAAAAGGATGAGAGAACGATTGACAAACCTCTTTGCTAGACCAAATGCAGAACCTTTTGTAGCACCTTCAAAGTCAGTCAACATTCTATGTTGTTCTACAAAAGATATTACAAACACAGAACGTCATAGAACACCTTTATTGTAAATTTCTTCAACAAAAAAATCCAGAACCAAAATATTTGATGAAATTCTATTAAAGAAAAAAAAAACTGAAATTAAAGAGAGGGAGATAGAACAATGCATACCGTAACTTCTGCATATATATATATATATATATATGCTGGCTCTGTCCCACAACAGCAGTAAGGGCAATGGCAAGCCTTTGTTCAAGCACGAAGAGTCACCTCCCATTACCAATTCAAAAGCCTGTTCAATCCCATCACAGGGGAGAAATACAATCAAAATTAATAAAAGGGAAAGAAATTGAAATATAGTGGAGGTGATGAAAAGATGCAAACCTTGTTTCTATTTCAAGGTCCACGAATAGATGTAATTGCGCCATTTAAAAACACTGTAAAGGCACAGGAAGACAGCTGTTTAAATGATCCTAGATGCATTTGAAACAAAGAGTATACGATCAAAAGTTACTGGCCTAAACAATCAAAAGTTACCTATGCAAAATCCCAAAACAATCAAAATCCCAAAACAAATATCTCTGCATTGTCGTTGTCATCAAAGATTGGAAAATTCTCTCTCATAACCCTACACCACTAAAAACTCAGAATCAGTGCTAAACTCAAAGAATAAAAACTAAAATTAATAGAGAAAATTGAACCTGATTTGAAGCTTACCAATATGTTGTAATCTAGCTATAAATACCTCAGCTCTTATATAGCATTAGTGATTACCCAAGAACCTGAAAAAATGAGAAAGACACAAAGATGGAAGATGCATGACACCAACGCTCTACATTATAATCAATTTCTTTTCGAACTTGATTTAATCTCTACTTCATAGTTGTTGCCTACCTTCACTCTCACTCTCTCTCTGTCCCAATAAATTTATAAGTTTTTCAGAAAGTGCCAAGAGGTGCAATTTAAAATAGCAAAACATACAAAATTAGGACTAAGAACTTGTTGACTGTAAAGGAAGGGAACATAAATGTAGCCTTAAAGCTCGTAACTTGCCTATATAGATGTGAAATAGATGCAGATACTTGACTGAGCTCATTTCTCTGCTAGGGTGTTAGGACTCTTTCTTGCCATTTTAGGTTAAGTAAATGGCTCTTAGAATTATAGTTGTTCACTCTCTCCCCAAGTCTTTGATTAATATAGGCCATACAAAATTCAAAGAAACATATAAGTTCACCTGCTTCAAAACAAACAACCGTCGATCAGAAAGAGTTGGTGGTATGATATCACCATATACACGTTTTGCCTCCTCAGCATACAACTCAATAAACCCAGCCCCGTAACTCACCTGTAATATGAGTTTGAAATTTGAATCACATGATGAAAGTAAGATGCAAAGCTACAGCTAATTGCTTAAATCCCTTAAACAGAAGTCTGAAATAGGATACCTCACCAATGGCTTCTTTTAGAGGTTTCCCTTGCTCCAAGGTAATGAGTTGTCCAAGCTCTTCTTTGTGGGAAATTAGTAGATCATACCTTGAGAGATGGGAAGGAATATAAATATCAAGAACAAATAAATTTTTTTACAAAACCAGATATAGAATCACAGGACAGCAATTATACCATTTCCTTAGACATTTGATTACTC